CATTTGGCTAACAGATCTCAAATCAAACAGAACAAAGTGCACTCTGAACACCACCTAAACCAAACCTCAAGGCCCCTTACAAATGGAAAAAGACTTGGAAAGGAGTGTATGAGCACATGGCTCTTCCCATGTAGTTATGTCACTGTATGAGCATGGCAGCTTTTGTGTGTTCACTGACTTTCCCTTCATGGAAATGCTGATAATGCTGCAATATACAAAACATCCCAATACATACAAATATGTAAGTTTTGTATCTACTAAGAGGTGCTGTCTTGTGACCTGTGCTCCTTCTACATTTCCACCTACACTTACCATGAATGTAACAGGCTGAAAGACATATCACACACAGTAGATGACTCTGTCTAAAGGTGCCCATACACCTTACAACCATCGCAAGTCTTGCGATGGTTGTAAGCTAATTAAAAGCTTGTACGATCTGCCCATCTTGGACAGGCAGATCATACTTGCAATCATCGCAAGCCCGCCTCCCTGAGGGGCGGGCTTGCGATGACTGCAATGAGGAGCGGGCTTCTGATGACTGCAAACGGGCAGTGTGCGCGTGCGCACATCTGCCCGTTTGGCAGTTGTTGATCAAGCAGGCCATTTGTTCGACAGAAGACGTGTGACCGTACAGTAGAAACGGTCGCAAGCCTTCCATACACTTGGCGATTATCGTACGATCGCGGGATTTCCCGCGATTCTCGTACGATAATCGTACAGCGTATGGGCATCTTAAGGCTGGGTTCACACCTGAGCGTATTTTTTCAGCTCGTTTTGCAGCACGTTTTTTAGCATGTTTTTTTCCGTTCAGTGAAACGCACGTTTCACTGGCTGTATGATTTAAAATTTTAAACTTATTTTCTCTATTTAAAAAAAAAAAAATTACAATTTTTTTTCTCCACTTTTAAACTTCCCGCCGGCTCCGACCCCCTGCGACGCGGCCGCTCGCAAGGGACGGAACCTGGAAGTTGGCAGCCGCCGGAGGACACAGCGGAGATCGCGGACAAGTCAAGACCTGTACGCTGTATTCCCAAGTGTAGCTCGGGGTTACCTCTTTGTTAACCCCGATCCACACTCGGGAATACCAATGGAAACGCGCTGAAAAATGCCCCAAAGAAGCTCCTGTACTTCTTTGGGCGTAGGGCCAGGTGGGAACCATGCCCATAGGCAATTATTGGTTTTCACATGTTGAGCGTTTTACAGCGCGTAGGAACGATTGGCGATTCTGCTAGTAACACAATTAGGGGTCTATATATAGAAAATTGCCCTGCAGATCTCGGTAAACATTTGTTCTGTGCTCATAGATGCAAAAACGAATGTACTTAATATATTTTCTTGTCAGGTCAAATGTAATGTAATACCGCATTACGGCCACTAGATGGAGGGGGGGGGATAGGAAATAAGTATTTAGTCAATGATACATAACAAGCGCACAGCATGTGAAAAAAGGCCCCATTCACATCTGAGCATGTTAAGCTCACAGCTGCAAAATGCTCAAAAATCCTCTTATCTTCGATGGCGCTGAGTGCTCAAGTGTATATAGCAAAACACCCATCAGTCCAAAAAGTAAATGAGCTTCTTTTTCGGCAGAATCAAGCATTTTGCCGTTATAAAATGTAATGGGAGCATCTGAAAAACTCTTAAAAAAGCGCGATAACGTGCATTTTTCAAGTGCTTCCATTTAATAGTCTGTGGGGCCAAAAATGCTCGATTCTGCATCTGTACTACAAGTAGTTCATAAAAACTTGAAAAACGCTTGTAAAAACGTGGCATAAAAAGCCTGTAAATCGTCTGGCTATACTTGCTTCTGAGTGAATGCAGCCAGAAATCAGAAGTACTGATACTCATACTTGTTTCACGTAAGAAAGTACTGAACCAAGCCATCAACATGAACACTAAAATAAGGGCGTTTCATCAAATGTTTCCTTTTCTTTTCTTGGGTATACTACAACTCTGTAAAGTAATAATCTTTACATTGGAGTTCTTACGGGGGCACATAGGCTGATGTTTTCAGTGGTACAGGCTCATTTTGTGCCTCATAAAAGAGATACAAAGCATACAATGTGATTCAGCTCCCTTTTCCGACTTTTATAAACAAACCCACAGAAAATACTATGTAACAAATGTGAAAAAGCAATGTTTTGTTTTCACAAAAAGCACATAACATGCTTTTACAAAATATGGATATAGCAAAGGTGCATATCACCGTCAATCATCTACATGCCAATACTTTTCAGTGACATTACTGGCCGTGTCTTGCCTTTTTTATATGGGTCAGGATTTTCAGAATTATGTCACCAGTGGACTGACCAGAATTTTTTAATATCGGGCAGTGTGTAGTAGTGACCAAAGGTATTGTAAACAGTGGAGGTGATTTAGTAAGACTAAAAAGCAATAGCTATAGTCAGGCTTGTTGACTTAAAGCATTTAATCATTTCATTAAATTTTAACTTTGGCATCATTCAACCCACCTCCTCTGAGCCCAAGTCATGCTGGACCCACTGGCTGGGCAGTAAAAGAGGAAGCAGTACAGTGATGACTCATCTGTCTTTCACTCTGCTTCCTATCAGAATGTTTCCTGGCAGCACATTAACTAATTGCCTCAATTTCCTGTCTGAACGACCTCCATCATTCATAAACTAGTTCTCCCCCTGATATGTTCTGTTGTTGGCCCCCTTCACAGCTGTTAGCTTTCTCCGAGATTGATCATTTTGTTCCTTGCCTTTATGTAAAAACACATCCCTGGCATTCCTACATCCAGTCAACCGATCAGCAAAAGTCAGCTAAAAACTGCTAAATTAGCCAGCACCTAGTGGGCAGCACGCACATCTAAAGGGATCCCAGGGATGTATTATTTCATATACCAAAATAAAAAAATTTCCAGCACACTTACCAGCTAGCCTGCAAAAGAAACTGTGTAACTGGGGTAAGTGAAATACTGAGAAGTAAAGTGTAACACTAGTTGGCTTACTGTTAAGTTAGGATGTGGACAAATACAGCATTTGATTTCCCAAACGGGTGATGATCCTAATATTCAAGTCTATACACAACATAAGCACACAGCTGAATGTGTCACAGGAGGGACTTGCCATACAGATCCTAATAAGTGGAAGCAGTGAAAAAGTAGCCAGTGTTGGTCTTTAGTATTATGTTCAGCAAACACAGTGTAAAAACATGGTACAATAAAGTTTAATTTGTAAAATAATTATGTTATTTAGGTAAAGAAAAAAATATTAAAAACATCAGTTTTATACAATTATAATTAACCAAAAACTGCCATATTTTGCCTTTAAAACAAAGGAGGTGGAAGAAAAATTCTGCTTACTAGTATGGGTTGGAAGGAAAGGTAGGAACATTTAAAGCACATGGGTAGACAAGTCTGTAGAGAGAACCCAAGCAGCACAATGCTTATTACAGAATATACAATTGTGTTACCACAAAATTACACCCATTTTTGCCATGTGCTAACTGCTATTAAAGATGAATTGTGGCAGTTGTGTGCAGAAAAAGCATTCATATTGCCTATATAGGTTCAATGCAGCTGACCTTTTTTCCATTACTATCTTACCATGCCTTGTTCTGCACCATGTCTCTGTGGTGATGACTATCTCATCAAAGGCAAGACTTTTCCTCTTGAGGTACCAAGGAACCTGATTTGAACCCAGGGCCCCCACTGTGGCTGGCAGTGGTTCTACCTGCTCAGCCACCTTAGAACCTTGCATAGCTCATTGCCTGATCTCCTGTGTAATCCTCAGTTAAACCTAGTTTCTGCTGTACTCTGAACTCCTTGAACTTCCTGTTTGCCAGATGATTGGGCTCCTGCCAATATCTTGCTTCCTTGCTCCTCCTGTGATACAATCCGTTCATACTGCTACCCGTGTACCGACCTTTGGCTGCTGATTCACCGACTACTCTCATCGTCTTCCGCTTCATACCTGATACCTTTGGCTATCGACCTCAGCTTGATCTCTGACTACGCTTTTGCCTACTCCAATACTACTACCGTCTGTTTGTGTACCGAACCCGGCCTGTTTGACTATGACTTTGCCTGCTGTTTCAGCTACTGGACTCAGAGCCTGATCCAGATCGTGACATTATGTCAGAGCTCCCTCACCATAACCAGTGATATGATGATTGGTGGGGTAATGATCAAGAAGCAGCAGGAGAGGTGGAGAAAATACAGATCCACAGAGGGAATGAACCATAAGCAGGGAGATCTTTGCATTGCAGGTCATTAGTTACAGCTTTCTCTGAAGCAAGGAGAACAGAGATCAGCACACTAATGACATCAACAAATCTTACTCAATATCTCCTGAGACTTTTAGTCACAGACAGTAGTGATTTAGATCTCACACCGCAGATATACAGTTATGAAGCTGTATGCACATGAGTGCCTAGGTACACTTATATACCAAGAAGTACACTTCTTTTTTTTCATGATGATTCAAGTCAAAAGAGGTAAAAAAATGTTTCAGATGTTTCCTATACATAGAGAACCTTACCAACTATGACTATAACCATAACACCTTACCAACCGTTCAGTGTCCGCCACCCCTCTCTGCCAATATCTCCACGGGCTCCCACTTGCCAAATGAATAACATTTTAAATAAAAACAACAACATACAAAGCCATCAAACTACATCACCACCCTCATCTCACAATATGACCCAAACCGTCCTCTCTGCTTCTCCCAAGACCTCCTGCTCTTTAGCTTCCTCCACTTTGTAAATCACTGCACAAACTGTTGGCTTTATATAAATGTATAATAATAATAATAATAATAATAATAACATAGCAAATCTTCACTTAATGAGTTCAGGTCCACTTTAAAGTGAACCTGTAGCTTTGCCCATGTAATTTAGCCCTTCCCAGCTGCATACTTAGGATTATGCATACTATGTATTGCAATGCATAGCTTGAATTTCATACATTTCTATTATTGTTTCATAGCTCAGTAATTCAGAGGTGCTGTCTCTTTAGACTTGAATATATGACATCTGTGTTGCTCTCACAACTTGTTATAAAAGCTGAATTAATTACTTATTCATCCTGATACAAGTCTGTCTTGACTATGATTTAATACACCATGTAGCTGCCAAATGTTCTTCTCAAGGTTCTGGTGATAACCAAATGTTACTTTCCCCTCAATGATTCCCAGCCCTTAGATAACTGGGCATGATTTGATTGGACTGCCATTTGTATAAAAGGGTTGCTAACAAATCAAAGGGTCTCACAGATCTTTACTGTAAGAAAATGGCACTATTCGGTCTCCTGTCATTTATAGCACTTGTAAGTGCTACTTATGGTAAGTTTTATATTAAGGCTTTAATTTCATTGTATGTCACCTATTTCTTTATGATAAAGAATTGTTTCGAAGTTAGACACTTTAATACTGAAATGTGCTAATGCAGCATATTATACTCACTACTTTTTTATGTTAAGTCGTGTATAACACACACACACACCTATATATATATGCCAATGGCATATTTTGCTACCCTTCAAAACATTATTAACCCTGGAACGATGTGGCAACTTTCTTCTTACAAAATCTACGTTGTCTATCATATTTCCAACCCCCTATATCTAGCTTAACCAACCTATCTTTAAGTGAAGGAGCTCGCTTATACAAAATAAGTCAAATTTAGGGACATGCTGTTAGTTGTCCCAAATTGTTCTTAATCTGTTGTGAATGATTTTACTAATATGTGAAGACAAAGCATTATTCTTGGAAACTTAAGGGACCTGTTGGCAATCCACCTGTGGCCATGGTCTTCTACTCCCCTGTTTCATAGCTGCAAAATCCAGTATTCTAGGTGGAATAGACCAAATGGAATGAACCAAAAATTCTAGGTGGATGGCAAATCCAGTATTCTTGGTAGAGATCTCCTTTTAATTCATTTTTAAATAAAGCTCTCAATACATACATTTTTCTTTATAGGATCCATAATGAAGCAATCCATGGGGACTTTGGCATTGCTCTCTTTAAAGTAATATTGGATACTCTGGTGTACAGAAAATGTGATGGATTAAAGAGTGAATTTTATGTAAAATCTACTTTCAGCAATTCACTTCTCAGATATCAGAGTTTCCATGAAAATTCTTGAAATGATTAATTATAACTATTTCAAGCTTCTACCTTTTTACAAATAAACATGTATGTTGTCTAGAATACTCCAGTGTGTTTAACATTACTGTTGTATTCCATGAATCCAAGGTTTCATTAAAGTACACCTTCATGGAGCTCAATTAGAATTAATCTTTAACTCCTCTTTCTACAATAAAGTCAAATAGTAAAATAGATTGGTAGCCATGGGGTAATGTACTTTGCATATCTGGCACAGGCACACAGCTCACAACTGCTTTCCCAAACAACCCACCTGAGAGTGACCCTGCAGAGCCCACCATATACTTTATATGGTGGGCTCTGCAGGGTCTCAGGTGGGCTGGTCAAACCCTCTTACCTGTCAGCCTTGATCGCTCACCCCCTCCTCCTCCTCCGTTGCTAGGCCCCACCTCCTCCATCCCCTGGCCCCACCTCCTCCATCACCGGGCCCCGCCTCCTCCTTCGCTGCTGATGCCGGTGTTCTATCGAAGGCTCCAACTTGTCGAGCTCTCCGACAGGGCATGTCACATCTGGTGACTGCCAGTAGAAGATGTACAGCAGATGGAGCTAGTGCGCATGGCCTCCTTCGTAGCTACTGGCTGTCACTGACTCAGCAGCAGCTGTGAGGAGGAACGCGCCGCTGCACAGATCACTGACAGGTTGTCAGTGATCTGAACAGCGGTGTGTTCCTTCTCACAGCCGCCAGTGACAGCCAGCAGCCTGAGATGCCATAGGGACCCATGCGGCCCACACAGCACCAAGGGGGTGCCCTGGATGGGCCCCTTTGTGCTCCAGGCCCCATAGCGGCCGCCTGGGATTGTTCTGCCACTGATTGAATCCCTTCACACCATGTAGAAATATTATACTATGACATTTTCATGTTTTGTCTTGTAGGATGTGGTACGCCTGCCATCCAGCCTGTCCTCACTGGATATTCCAGAATTGTGAATGGTGAGGAGGCCATTCCAGGATCCTGGCCATGGCAAGTCTCCTTACAGGTAAGATTGCTCTCCAATTGTAATTTGAACCAGGGCCATTTTAAAACGCAAAACAGCCAGGGCAATGCTAAAAACAGGGTGCACGTATATATAATTCAGATTTGCATTTATATCTTAACACAACCATGGGGTTTTTAGTTCATGCAAATTATGCTGTGTATGCTGAGTTATTGGATCCATAGGACTGTGAGAAAAGGTTGGATCTTTTTGTCTTTGTTTATTGTTTCAGGTAGAGTTCATTTAATTCCTATTTAACCTAATTTTTATCAAAACTGCTCATAAGTATCTCTAAAGGCACCTGTGTGACAGCCTAAACCAGTCCCAAATCCACGTACTATGTGATCTACAAGCTTCAGAAAGGAAAAAATAAAAAAACTTGATTTACCATCAGTGACTGGGCCAAATCCTCCATCATTTGTGCCTGACATGCTCCCCATCCCTGGTGCTGCAGCTCACAGTGGGACGGTTTCAGCAGCAAAGGCAGTGCTGTCCATCCAGATAACAGTGGGCAGGACTAGGAGTGGCCAGGAGCTGACAGGCTACGGGCTTATGAATAAGCTGTGATGCTGATAGCCACCCCCCCTTGTTAAGTCTTCTGATCCCACTATAATGCAAGTACATGTGCTACATGAAGGTGACAACACTGCTCTAAATTAAGAGGCAGTGCAGCAGCATTGTCACCCCATTATAGGAAGCTATGTAAGGTAGGCTTCAATAGTAGGATTAAAGGTATGTTTGGATGCACCTATAATTAGATGCTGCAACACAGATGGATTTTAATAGGAGGCATGGTTCAACTTTGATCTTCTAAGGTGACCAATGGGGCTTAGGGATGATTGCCTTTTTAACATTAACTACTAGCCTTAAATCCAACAAGTCTATATGTTGGCTTTCATTTTTGATGCATCATCAACTATTGCCCTTTGTGGCCATCTGTTAAAATGGTCTGAAGCCTTACCCCCACAAATTTTTTTTCCACTATGAGAGACTTTTAGTGCAGCCAACCCAGGACAATTACACTTTTACCTGAGCATTTCCATACCTGTAGATAACCTGAGACAAACATGGCATTTGCTACATATTGTGTGCCATTTCAAGCTGGATAGAGACTGGCTACACTGGGACTAATAGAATAGAAAGGGCATCTAAAAAGATTTCATTTATTTACAAAAATGTTTACAGCTGTGTTTCTGGTCTGCTCCCGACACATAAACTGGGTATGTACTGTACTGTATAGCTGAATGCCTATTTGTTTTAATTTTATTGTAATTACCCTAGTGTGCTAGCGCCCTAGAATAGTCACTCAGCTATTAGCCTTACCCATCTTTTAAGGTTTGTTTATTTAGGAAAATATATTAAAGATAAGGGTATATAATTTCCTGCCTTCCTGTTTTAGGACAGCACCGGTTTTCATTTCTGCGGTGGATCACTGGTCAGTGATGAATGGGTTGTTACTGCTGCACATTGTGGTGTCAGGTAGGTTTTACCTAATGCACACTTGTGGATATATTTTTGGTTATTACGATGTTTACATTACACTATTTTATAAATGATTGCCACATATTGCCAAGTCTGTTCTTCCATATTTTTGGATCAAATGGAGAAACTTGTAGAAAAGCCACTGGAGGGAGCTTTAACTACCATCAAAACAGGGAACACACTGATTTCAAGACAGCTAGCTCATAGACTTGTATTGTGAGATGGAGCAGTGAAACAAAGCCATTGTGTAGCACTGCAAAGCAAGAAATGCGTAGGTTAACAAATAAAGTCAAAGCCTTATTTTGTCCAATCAAAATGAAAAGGAACAAATCTGAGTACATTGTACATTGATTCAACAGTAGTTTTATCAAATGTAATCCATGGTCATCAGGTGACCATATTAGCAACCCACACAACGCATGCAATAGTTTGTATCATACCATGTAAGCACCACGATATACCCCTACTGCACCATGGAGGTGAACTCCCAAGAATAAACATGTTCTACCCATGAACCATTATGGTAAGCCGTGCCTTTACCACTAACCCTTCCCCACCCCTTGTTTATGTGTCATGAATGTTGCAGAATGCTGTAGTCTATATCAGTGGCGTAACAACCGGGGGGGCAGCAGGGGCGCGGGCCCCGGGCGAAAAGTG